ATTAATGATGTAGTTAATGAAATAGACGACACCGTGATTTTGCAAAACTGTTATGCAGAGGGCCATGTGGCAGTTGACGGCTCTATGAATTTCCACGTCTTGAAAGATTTTGGGTATGTATGATCTTTAGGATTATCTTTTTATGAATTTAAGTTTAACACAAATTATTTTATTAAGAAATTACGATTGAACTGTACGGAGTAGCGTGACAGAGGAAATTCTTTCCTTCGTTAAAGACGAGAATGACGATTGAAAATTATTTGGATTAGATCTATTATCTTGAAGTTAAAATTATTGTAAATAAATCGTCTCTAATAATAAGGTGTAAATATTAAAATAGTTGTAGAACAGTGACTCTGTATGTCAAGTCCATACATGACACCAAAAAGGAATCCAGAATCGGGTCATCCTCCATTTTTGATGTTCTGATGAAGGCCTCCAGAACCTACGAATACTTTCCCCAACTGAGGTTTGTTATTCAATATTCATTTTTTAAATAGGAGTGAGTGCATATTAAAATAAGTTTTAATATTTTAGGTAAAAAAAAAATATGGAGTTTTATTAATAATTATTGCACGGCCATGTTACATTGAACTTGAAACTAGCTAGATGTCGATTCTAAAGCTAAAACATTGTTTTTAAATAGAACTCCAAATAATAAAAAAGATGAACTCTTTAATCACACTGTTGCATGGATGAAAGAAAACAAGTGGGGTTTTACATCACAACAGGTGTCATCACTTGGTAAACATGTAGTTTCAACACTGACAGAGGCCCTTTGGTTCCTTCACCCATTCTAGGAGAGGTTTAAATCCAGGGGAATTGATATTCCCAAACCATTGAATCCTATGACTGGGTATCGAGATTTGAAAAATCAAAAGAAGAAAACGCCTCAGGTACTATTCTTTTAAAACAAAATTATATATACAAGTTTTCAGTCTTTAACAATTCTGACAAAAATTATAAATATATTTTACAATGTACTTTTTAAAAAATATTTTAAGCTTTCTTGTGAAGAATTGAAGAACAACTGTGAGAAAATTTCCGAATTATTGCTGGTCCCTTGGATGAATGCCGAAAATAATAAAAAAAATTCAAGACTATTATTGAAGAGCTGGTATCGCAAATATCCAAATACGTCACTTTTTTGAATAGAATGAATGAGAGAACCCAGAAAAATCATGAAAAAACAGAACCTGTGAGGGATTTTAAAGACAATTGGGAATTGAAAACTATATCATCTCATAGTTTGGGTTCTTCTACTCATCCAGACTATCTTGCAATTGACAAAGCATTAGAAGAAGAACCATTTTATAAAGTGGTTGATTCAATTAACTTTGAACCTACTGACAAAGAATTAAGAAGAACGTGGATCAAGAACTTAGTTGTGTCATCAACTATAAATCTATTCTCTTATGTAGATATGGAAATTATCTGGGTAATATTAACCTTGTTTGGAAGATTCCCTCTGAAGGGAAAACCGTGATCCTGCAGAAGTCGCTAGAAACATAAACTTAATAAAAGAAAATGTATTAAAATTTGCAACACGTCGCATGAGAAAAGATTTCATTAATTTATATCATTGGAAGTGTAAAATACAGCAAGTGATTCTAAGAAGCATGTTTGACTTTCTGACTGATTTTGAACCTCCTACTACAAACCAAAAAGAGGCAGTAAGTAATGGATGAAAGATTTTTGAGATATCTTGTAGAACTGGATGACCCTGATGTAATTTTTGACTTAAGAAAACATAATGGAAGGCCAAATGATCCCAAATTTGAACCTTTCTGGGAGGGTTTGGATAAATTACTTCAGGAGAAATCAGCTGTGCATGAACGTAGACAACAATGTGCAGTATTTACGATTTGCAATGTCAGTGTAAGATTTGAGAGAGCAAGTTATGGAGAAGTTACCACCTGGGTCATCTGCTCCATCAGTTTCATGGATTCGGCTCAATTTTCATCCTAAGAACCCTTATCTTAAAAGTGCAGCACAATATACAGGAAAATTCAATTTGAAGTATTCAGTTCAGCAAAGGTTACTCAGGGTACAACACATGGATTCAGACTACTGCAGACAACAGTTCTCACTGCTTAAATCCTTTGCTGTGAAATGGAAGGACTTAAGCATTTTTCAGAGTTTGGATGACAAGGCCATTGTGCCTTTTGGAAATCCAGAACAACCAGTTTCCACTGGTGTTCGATCACATCATGGAGCAATTGTGGCAAATGAAAATAGAGTTGTTGCACTGGATCATGACTTCGTCATAGTGCTGAAACAGTGAAGATAGTGCGCAACTATTTTTCCGAGGATGATGTTAACTGTCAGTTTCCTATTGTTATTCGCTACACTGATGGAGGGCCTGACCATCGCACCACATTTAAAGGTGTGCAGATGTCATGTCTATTCGAATTTATTGCTTTGGATCTGGACATGTTGGTAGCAGCCCGTACTGCACCAGCACAAAGTTACCACAACCCTGCTGAACGTGTTATGAGTACCCTAAATTTAGGACTACAGAATGTGGCCCTGGAAAGAACAAAAATGCGTGCAGAGTTTGAAATGCAAGCAAAGTCTCTCAACAGTTTAAAAGCTATTCGTAATGCTACAAAGAGAAATGAGGGACTCAAGAGAGCATTTTCAGAGTCGATGGATTATCCCTTGTCTATTGTCTATTGATTTGGAAGACTGAAGTGGACAGGAGAAAAATTAATGTTCATGAGGGAGCTTCAGAGGATGAACTTAGTGAGTTGAGCAGACTACTCCAGGTCATAGATCCATTGGTAAATTTTGAGGATCAGAAAACATGGAATTCTTTAAAGCTACAGAAATTCATGGAGAACCATTGTCAGAAAAGGCACTACATGTTCAAGGTATTTTTTGTTTAAAAGTAATATACATTGATGCATCCTGATATGAAAATTATTTTAGTTGAATGTATGATAATATCTGAATTACTTAATTGAAATAACTATAGTGACATAATGCTACAATAATTTTTTCCTGTTAGATCAAGAAATGTACTTCAGATCAGTGCGCATATTGCATCCTTTGTCCACCAAGAATCCCATTGGATGTCTTTAAGAATCTTCACTTTGTGCCCGATCCTGTGCTGGAAAATGACACCTACCTGGATTTTGAGAAGATCTATGGTACCAATACAGAAGAAGTGGCCAGACCTAGTGCACAAAAAGCACCAGAAAAATCTGAGAGGGACAAAAAGTTCAAGGCAATTCTAGTCGCAAGTATGTGTCCAACATGTCCAACTTATAATATATGACAAATTTCAAACATATAATTTTATTATCATTTATAAATAGATTAAATAAAATTACATTGATAAAAAGGTCTTGCGACCTGTGAAAACTAGAAATGCAAAAAAAAAAAAAAACAAAAACAAAAAAAAAAAAAAAACAAAGAGGAGAAAGTGAAATTTTAATAGAAACAGTTTATCATCATAAATCTCATTTAAAAAATTGCTGTACATCAAAGTTTATTCTTTTCAGATTTTTTCTATGAAATTTTAGGTAATGAAAAACAAAATTCCATCCAAAATAAGAAATAAAATTTTTAAACACAATTTTTTATTTTATTTTTATTTTTCTGACCGACTGCTTGAATTTGAAACTTTTATTTTTATTTTTATTTCGACCCCCCGACTGAATTTTGAAAAAAAAAATCCCGTAAAACAGAAAATAAAAAAAATGTTGGCCTAAGCAGCGGAAAATTCGTCTGCTAGGAGGAGAAAGGGGGGAGAGAAATTCGGAAAGCAGAAACCGAGAAGCATCTCCCATATACACCCTATTACTAGGGATGGCTACACAACGCAGATGGGTAATTATATTACACTTAGTTAAATTATATTAAGATATGTAGGCGCTGAGATATCCCTGTGGGAGGCCCATAAGTAGAGTTGGGAGACCCATCGACGGGAAAACGTATGGGAGGATCTATAGGAGTTACATTTTATTAATAACAGTATAAAGGTCTTATAAATTAGGTATCAACAGAATATCAAATTAAAGAAAATATATTTTCAGTACAAGTAACTAGTTTTTATAATTATTTTGGAAAATTTAGATTATTCATACGGGTTGTGGGAGTGACATATTTTTAAGGTGTCAGATATTGCGCTTTTTATTATTACAATAGTCATATCAAATTGTACATAGTGTAAATAAATCTTATTTGTTGAACTTTTTTCCTGACTTAACTATTCATTCCAAATAAAGTTAACGTACGGGAGTGGAAAGCCCACAAAGTTGCCCCACTCTCTCCCGAGGTGGGAGACGCAACAATATAATAGGTCAACATTAAACTTATTTAATATGTATAATAGTTAACTTGCAACATATAAAGCATTAAACAATTTAAGTCCTTCAAAAAATGTGACCAGATATAGCATGATATTTGAAAAATGAATCTAAATTGTGGTTACATGCACTTTGTGATAATGTAGTAAACATGCAACTTATGTTGGCATCACATTAAGGCATGTCAGCATACAACTTATTTATGTAACTTGTCTTGCAAATAAATTATGTTAAATATGCAAATCATACACTGTATGTCGACCTGTAACAAATGTGTCAACACGTCAAGATTATTTGTACATCCAAGATATTTAATAACTTTTGGAGTAAAACATGGCAAACTTTTATATAAAAAATAATTGGAATATATCACAGGTTTTTTTCCCCTGAAATTTGAATGTGCACTGTATTGTTAAAGTGTGTAAATCAAAAATGTTGAAAAAGAATATTACGCATAACATGTGAATGTGAAATGCAGGATCCCGATTTATCTCGTGCTTTTCTTCCTAATTTGGTGTACTTACTTCATTTCCATATTATTACGTGTAGCTTTATTTTAGTTCTTAATTTTCACAATTCTGCTACAATAAAACTATAAAGTATATTGAATATGGGCAGAATTATCCTTGGCCTACAGGTTGATCAAAATAATTTTCAAGTTGATGCAATAAGTTGGAGGTAGCGTGATTTTCCTACATATCAACATGCTACCAAGTAAATAACTTGTTTGTCGATACCACATGGTAACACTGAAACATAGCATGATAATAAAATTAATATATCAAAACTGACCTTCAATACAGCATAACCAATTTATTCCAAAGAATAAAAAGAGCAAAGGTACTCAGTCTAATTACAATAATGAGCTATTAACAGTTGTGCGAGAAGTTCAATATCTTTGAATACTTTTATCTAGAAAAATAAATTTTGATTGGCAAAAACTCTAAAAACAGGTAAGAAATGTTTATGCAATGCAAGATAAACATGTTTACCACTAGATATATTATTGCCTATTAGCTACTATGTCTGACCAAATTCTTTATTATGGATCTAAAGTATAGGGTTCTGTAAACAAGTTCTCCATATAATTTATAATAAGGTGTACACTTTTTAAACTTTCAGAACTATAATTGTAGTGGTATTCCAACAAAATCTTCCTTCAACCCATTTATGCCTCTGCGTAAATAAAAAAAAGTTTTGAAATTTCGACAGAAAACTTTCCTTACATTTGCAGTGTGTATAAGGTAAAAAAATATTCAAAATTATAAAGAATAAGTGTCACGTAGAGAAAAAGAATGAATTCAAAATTCTTGTAGTGGTTAAACACAGTAATTATCATTAATAATTCTACGATGGGAGTTCTGAGTGGTTTTCTTACCGTAAAAAATGCTAAAAATTAATTATTCATGTACAGTGCACTGTATGGCAATTATTAATTGTAATCAGTTTTTTAAAAAAATGTAAGTAATGAACACAAGTTCTTGCTTGAGATTTGCAGAGAGATGATCGAATTTCTTTCCAAATTTCTCTATTACTCTTTTTTGTTAAGGAATTTTGCGTCTGTTTTATAAAGAGTTTCCTTAATCTAAATCAAAATACAAGGAATGATCATTGAGAGAGGTAGTTTTGACTTGATGTACAAAATTTTCTTTCAAGTGTTTTTAAATGCTTTTATTATTAGATGGATCATAGGAGCTTTACTTATTAAAGATTATTTATTTTCGAGAAATTTATATTTTATAAAATTAAAGTGTAAATATTGATCTTATCTATTTCATTTTTGACATTGAATTTATTAATTTATTCAAAAACTTCTACATGAGAAGAAAACAATCGCTGTTGCCTTCAACTCGACGTTTATATCGACGACGTATTATCAATTAACAATAGTTACTATCATTCATATGTCGACTCGATATATCCGAGTGAACGTGAAGTAAAGGACACTACAGAGTCTACCATATCTGTTTCATATTTGAATGTTTCACTGACTATAACATAAGGACCAACTAACAATTAAACTGTATAACAAACGAAATGACTTCAGCTTTTCCATCGTCAACTTTCCTTATTTATGAAGTAATATTCCGCTATGTTTCATACCAGTTATTAGACCTTTGTTTTTATTCTGAATTTGACGAAGGAATATTCTGTCTACCTGATCAATAAATATGGTCATGGCGGGTGTGACCGATCAGGAGGAGATGCTTACTCCTCCTAGACACCTGATCCCACCGCTGGAATTTCCAGGGGTCCGTGTTTTATGCCCTGTACACAGATTTGTATTGTTTATAGAATTGTTGAGATCGATAACTGTTCGTTATCTTCACCTTTTTTCATAGGGTACCTGCCGTTACCCTAGGAAAAATGGAGACAACAAAGTATTGATGAAAATATATCACCATTGTGTATTTAAGTGGGGGAAACAGCAATGTGTTTCGGCGGTTTGATATCGTATTGCTGAATGATCAAAACTTTAAATTATATCAGGGATCCAACCGTAAATTCTATTGTAGTAAAACAGATTTTGTAGGCAAATCACCAATACTTTTATGTTTAGCATATGCAATCATTGGTTTGTTTGAAAGATTTGTTTGCATGTTTTCTCTGTTGAAACCATTGACCAGTATTTTAATAATTTGGATTTCAGACATTTGATTTTTGGGTCATTCTTTGTAATTAGAACATTAGGTATTTCCTTTGGTTTTTTGGCTTTACATTCCATAAATACATACATTAATAAATCTAATTAAAGTATGAATCATTATTTATTTTGTATTATCAAACATTACAGATTTTATGCAAAAATAAAAAACTTTTAAGGCTCTTTTTCTTATAATCGAATCGAAATTATTCAAAAACCGAGGTTTTTCTTTGAACCAAATCGATTCGAAAATTTTCTGATTCGTGGCGTCCCTAAATATTAAGAATATTGGTCTTTTCCAAATCGTTATCAAATCATGTATGTATTGGATTTTTTAACAAGAGGCCCAAGGGCCTTAACGGTCACCTGAGTATGATACAATAATTTAAAGGATGCATAGAGTATAATATGAACTGAAAGGTGAAGCTTTGTTGCCCAAAAGAAAAAAAAAATAGGGTGATCATGATCAACAAAATAATTGGTCTTAATATTCATTAACAGTTCATAAATTAGGTTCTAATCTGTTCCCATTTATCACTATCACCATACGGTATATTAACAAATCATCAATGCTTTTGTACTATTTTAATCCCTTGATGAAATCTCTTACATTGGCCTCTCTTGGTCTTTGATGAACATTTAATAAGACAAGTTATTTTTGTCTCATTTTTATTTATCTACTACTTACAAGTCTATCTGATCATTAAAACAATGAAAGTACTTTTTGTATTATATAATAAAAGTTTTTGCATAATTCTCTTATTCTATTTACCTTTCAAGTACATTATTTACAGTGATTAATTATCAAAAGTAAATGGCAAAGGGGAATAACTCCTCTCAGTAGAATACAAACTAATAGAGCCCTGGCCAGGACCAGAACACTTGACCAAATGGTCCAGATGTTAAAAAATCTGATAAAAATTCCCTTCCTTATAAAAATTTTTACTCTATTTACCTCAGATATGCCCAGGTGCGGAGAAGATTTTTAAAGAAATAATGCATTTTTACTACAGATTCACTATATAATCAATAGAGCCCCCCCCCCCCCCCCCGAAACACCAGAGCTTCTGACCCTGGGACCAAACAGGATTATTTAATAGAATTAATGCATTTTCACTATATTATCAAGAGCCCCACCCTCACACCAGCACCTCTGACCCAGGGGTCATGAAAATTCACTACTTTGAAAGAAGCACTCTTGCTCATCATAACTATACACTTAGCTTCTTTGCTTTTTTAACCAGAAGCAGAAAAGAATATTTTCAAAGAAATTTTGCTTTTTCACTTAATAATCAATAGAAGCCACCCCCCCCCCCCTTCACCAGAACCCTTAAACCTGGGGTCATAAAATTCACAATTTTGGAAGAGGCATCCTTGCATATCATAACAATGTACTTAGTCTGTATAAACAATACCCAGGGGCAGAGAAGAAGATTTTCAAAGAAATAATTCACCTTGACTATAGGATCTATATAGCCCCGCCCTAGCACCAGAACTCCTGTCCCCGGGGCCATGAATTTCCCAATTTTGGAAGAGACATCCTTGCTTATCATAACAATGTACTTAGTTTGTTTAAATAATACCCAGGAGCAGAGAAAAAGATTTTTAAAGAATTAAAACATTTTCACTTTATAATCAATAGAGCCCAGCCCTAACACCAGAACCCCTGATCCAGGGGCCACGAATTTCACAATTTTGGAAGAGGCATCCTTGATTAGCATAACTATGTATTTAATGTGTTTCAATAATACCCAGGAGTAGAGAAGAAGATATTCAAAGAATTAATGCATTTTCACTATATAATCAATAGAGCCCCACCCTAACACCAGAACCCCTGACCCAGGGGCCATGAAATTCACAATTATGGAAGAGGCACTCTTGCTCATCATAACTATGTACCTAGTTAGTTTATCTAATACCCAGGAGCAGAGGAGAAGATTTTCAATGAATTAATGCATTTTCACTATATAATCAATAGAGCCCCGCCCTAACACCAGAACCCCTGCCCCTGGGGCCATGAAATTCACAATTTTGAAAGGGGCACTCTTGCTCATCATAACTATGTACCTAGTTAGTTTATCTAATACCCAGGAGCAGAGGAGAAGATTTTCAATGAATTAATGCATTTTCACTATATAATCAATAGAGCCCCGCCCTAACACCAGAACCCCTGCCCATGGGGCCATGAAATTCATAATTTTGAAAGGGGCACTCTTGCTCATCATAACTATGTACTTAGTTACTGAATTTAATACCCAGGAGCAGAGAAGAAGATTTTCAAAGAATAAATGCATTTTCACTTTATAATCAATAGAGCCCTGCCCTAACACCAGAACCCCTGCCCCTGGGGCCATGAATTTCACTATTTTGGAAGAGGCACTCTTACTCATCATAACTATATACTTAGTTAGTTTATTTAATACCCAGGAGCAGAGAAGAAGATTTTCAAAGAATTAATGCATTTTCACTTTATAATCAATAGAGCCCCGCCCTAACACCAGAATCGCAGACCCTGGGGCCATGAATTTCACAATTTTGGAAGAGGCACTCTTACTCATCATAACTATATACTTAGTTAGTTTATTTAATACCCAGGAGCAGAGAAGAAGATTTTCAAAGAAATAATGCACTTTCACTATATGATCTATATAGCCCCGCCCTAGCACCAGAACCCCTGACCCTGGGGCCATGAATTTCACAATTTTGGTAGAGGACTCAGTGCTCATTACAATGATTCCAACAGTTTGACTGCTTGATGTCCAGTAGTAAAGAAGAAGATTTTTAAAGATTGCATTAATTTTGGTGGTTTTAGCCCCACCCCTCAGGCCCCAGGGGGGCAGGGACCATGAAATTCACAATTTTCGTTCCCCTTTACCCATAAATGCTATATGCCAAATTTGGTTGAAATTGGTTGAGCGGTTTCAGAGAAGAAGCTAAAAATGTTCAAATGTTAAAGCACATCGCACGCCGACGGACAAAAACGGATAGCAATAGGTCACCTGAGTGACTCAGGTGACCTAAAAAAATTTATATGATATGGAATAACTGCAACGTA